GGTGTGGGTGGGTGGTGGTGGGAGGTGCGGGGGTGTGTACACATCCTGGTTTCTTTGAAAAAAAAATGATATGCTTATCAAAAAGTGTCTTAATTTTTACATTGCCAAGTCATAGAGAAGGTGAAGGAAGTATGGCATGCTCATCTGCAGGTATGACCCGCCTGGGGTGATCACGGAGCTGCAGTTGCACTTATGGAGCTGCGCAGTGGACTACCGGCCTCTGCACCTTCCCCTGCGGTCCCTCATCACCATGGGATCCTTTAGTGTAGCCAGCAACATTGCTGCGCACACCAGCACCTCCACGTTGCGCTTCATCGCTGAGGAAGCTGCGCTTTTTCTATCTGACCAAGCTCAAGAGGATCGGCCAGTGGACCTGCGCAAGGATTACGTGTGTGTGGTGGACTTGGGTCTGTTTGAGCTTTCTCTGAGGCTCTGCAGTCAGCAGAGCTCTGGAGGTGAGTGTGATTGGCCTGTGTTTGTTGTGTTGTTTGTCAGAGCTCTTAGCTGTCACTGCTGCACTATTGCACAAATGCCCCTTCCTCAAATTCCTATTATACAATTTGCCATGGTGATGTTAATCCACATTTGTAAGATTTATTGCAAACAATCTTCTTTGTGAGACAATACATAATATAGATTATTGATTCACACTTTTGTTTATTAGAATGGGAAGTTGATATTCATTTTTGTGAAATAAATTAATTTATCACTTTGCCTACTGTCACTTCAGTTTCTGGCCCTTTCCTTAAAGAGCATCAGCAATCTTTGTCTGTACAAATACATGAAAAATCTTTGGAATTTACTAACTAGAGTTAATGTAGCGGGTTTAATGACAAGTTCTTGTAGTACTAGTATCACTGAGAAAAACTGGAGATCCTCAAAACAATAGAAATCTTCCAAGTGAGAGCAGGCCAAGACAACAATCATCATCTGCAGTTCACCCTGTTTAGGCACGAAATGACAAGAATACTCGTCTGCACTTTGGAATGGATTAGGAACTCTGAGAACCCATACACTACAAAGAGGAGCTGACAATCTCAAACATGAGTTAGCTTTTCTGGGGTACAAATTTGATTGGCTGCAAAAGTGTGCCCTCAAGAGCACTTTATCGCTATTTATCTCGTGGGAAGTCTGTAGGTATTTTTCACTTTGGCTTATCCATACCCTTTCCTTCATTGACCTTTCTTCTTTTGTGGATCTGGGCTTGTGAGGACATCTTTCATTACTTATCTGTGTTGGTATATCGTTTAGGCTATTTTATTAATTTTAATGAAAAGTGTAAGTTTGTTTCTACTTTGCTTGGCATTTGTTTATTTTGCTCATGAATGAACGAAGGACAGTAGATGGTTGTATTGCAGTGAGTAATGCTGTCCCGAGGGTGGACCTCCGTGCCTCCAACAATGTGCTGCATGTGAGGACGTGTGCAGACTCGGGGAAAGCTCTGACGGAGTTGCTGACCTATTTTGCCTCTGATGGAGACTTGAAACCTGCTGCTGCTGAGGAAGGTAAACTAGTCATAGTATGAATGTCCTATCCTCACTCCATACTTCTACATTTACACTAACACGCACTGCACTATCACCCAAGCCGAGAGACTGATTGGGAGCTTAGATCTTATCCCGGCTGGCGCGGTACCTCTTTGGTGAGACATACCTGGTTGGGGAAAACCCCACTTGACAATTTTAGGTCAGCACCAGATCTTGCTATCCTGTGGGGTAGACCACTGCCACCTCCCAAGGAATTCCGTACACTACACTTATGGGACTATTCACCTAGCAGTTAATGCACAGTAATCTCTAACAATCAGTCAATCAATCAATTTTTACACCTTTGTTTACAGAACTTACAGGAGTAGCTATTTCTTGTGACAGTTCGACTATTCAACTCTAATTCATGAATATTTTGTATGAAAAGGGGTTTACCAAATTCAATAATGATTATTAGTTATTTTTTTTGTTTTGTAACTCTAAGTGCTTTTAACTGGATGAATACACTTATATTGCAAAATTTTTTGAATAATTCTGGCTTTATGTTTGCATGTAAAAAATATATCTATCAATCAATTAGTTCACTTCTATGAAGCATTACAGTGTGGTCTAGGTCACATAGATGTTTTTTGCTTTACCGAACGTTGGTTGTCTCATAATGATCTAAAAACACTCCAAATTCCTAGTTTTTACCTTGCAGGATCATATTTTAGAGCGAGAGTATCAAATAAGGGCCCTACTTACGGAGGTTCATGTATTTACGGAAGAAATGATATTGATTCTATCTTCTTGTCAGAATTCAATTTATATGCAGTTGAAAATATATTCATTTAATATATTTTAATGAAATATTTTCAGAAATATTTTAGAAAAATAATTTCATTTCCTTAGAAAATCTAGAGATAACTCTGAACATAATTAGTAATCTATCTTTTAAATACATTATTATATGTGGATATTTCAATATTGATTTTCTGAGTGAATCCTACGAAAAAGAGCAGTTTCTCAATTTACTAAATTCTTTTAATTTAGATATTACAGTATTCCTACATGGAATATATTTAAATCACAAAAAGCAAAAGATCAAATTATAAATAACAAAACCACAACTAGATATGAAATAAAAACTACTAAGCTAGGTTACAGTGACCATGATGCATGAATTCTTACAATTACTAATAACATGAACACCGACACAAATTATTCACGCATGTGCAGAGCATTCGCTAAAGTTAACATAAAATTATTTACAGACTACTTGCTGAAGAAATCAGGGGACTCAGTTTATAATTCTATTGACACAAATGAAAAATAAAATCTATTTTTCTCAAAACTTTGATTTCACTTTAACGCATGCTTTCCTCTCAAAAAGAGAAAATTAAATACTTCACGGAAAAATAATACTTGGATCACACAAGGTATAAGAACATCATGTGAAGACAAACGTACGCTTTACTTTATTTCTAAACATCATAACATATCACCCAGTTTGCATGTCTACTTCGAAGAATACAAAAGAATCTTAAGATAAGTAATAGTGCAGGATAAGTAATAAGATAACTAATAATAATGAAAAATAATTATGATATATTAAACGCTAGTAACAAAACTAAAGCAATGTGGAATGTCTTAAAAAATACGACCACGTCATCTCGTTACTTAGTAGAGAATGTTGTTTTAAAGGATAATGAAAGAGAAGCCAGTAGTCAAGAAAAAGTGGCAAATCTCTTCAACCAACATTTTTCTAGAATTGTGGCTGAATGCACGAAGGGACTAAAACCATAGAATGCAACATCTTTACCTTCCCAAAAACTTTTCGTCACTATTTTTATTTCCGAAACTTCTAACGAAATCTTCCGAATAGTCTGTAAAATTAAAAATAAATATTGATCTGGTTTAGATGAATTTCTGGATCGTTGATTGAAAACTTGTGTACCTTCTTTTATACACCCGTTAACTCACATTTTTAATGCTTCTTTATGTACAGGAATATTTCCAGATATTTTCAAAACAGCAAAAATTAAGCCACTTTTCCAAAAATAGAGCAAAAATGAAAATCAAAATTACCTATTAATTTCTCTTTTGTCAGGTTTCTCAAAAATATTAGAGAAGCTTATCTATATACAAATGGAAACTTTTCTCACGAAAAACGAGGCGTTTTGAGTCTCACAACATGGGTTTAGAAAATCAAAATCTATGGAAATTGCAATTTTTTCTTTTCTTAAAGATTTTACTTCATCAATGGACCAAAATGAAGCCCCCATTGGAATATTTTTAGATCTTTCGAAAGCTTTTGATGTTTTGACCATAACATGGCACGAAAGGGCATTATTATCATATCTTATCTTTCATATTCTTTACCAATTGAATATGGTGTTCCACAAGGCTCGATCTTAGGTCCTATCCTCTTTCTGTTAAATGTAAACGATATGCCATTGTCTATTAAAAACGAAAAAATGATTGTTTGTCAATGACATGGATGTTCTTTGCAAAAAAAGAAACAATAAATAGTATGATTTTAGAAGTTTCAAATAGGTTTTGTAATAACAAATTAATAGTTAATGAAAGAAAAACAGTTTCAATGCATTTTTGCCTTTCAAATCAGCAGTCGCATGCTCCATTGAAAATGAATAGTATGCAATTAGGTGATGTTCTGGTAACAAAATTTCTAGATCTGTCAATTCAGTCAAACCTAAAATAGAATGTATGTATAACAAAATTAAACACTAAATTAAGTTCATTATGTTACCCATTCAGAATTCTATCAAATTCTGTTAGCCTTCGTGCAGCTCGTTGCATGTATTTTGCAAATGTACATTCCCGCCTGAAATATGGTATAAATGTCTGGGGAAACTCATCATGTAGGACTCAGACCTTTAGATTGCAAAAGAAAATTATTCGAACAATGAAAAAATGCCATCCGCGTTACCTATGCAAGCCTCTTTTCATTGAGCTTGGAATCTTACCACTGCCTTGCCTATATGCTTATGTATCTGTAATATTTGTCAAAGTGACTTACTTAACCGTGAAAACATATTTTCATGTAATACTGATATTTACAATTACAACACATGACGTAAAAATCACGTTCATCAAGTATCGGTATCAATAGCTCTCTATCAGAAATCCACATACATGTATGTTACTTTACAACACACTGCCAGATGACATTAAACAATTAAAGTTGGTTCACAAATTAAAGATAAAAGTAAAATCTTTTCTGCTGCATAACTATTTCTATACTATTATAGACTATACTGATTATCAAAAAGAAAAATAATGTTCATTTCAACAAAACAGTGATATATAATGAATTAAATTATATTTGTATTGTATAATTTTTTTTAAAAAGACTTACTGGGTTTGTAACAAATAGACTACTTCAGCTTTCAGGTCAATGACCTCCATCTCAATCAGGTTTTTGTCCAGTTTCCCTGATCCATTGAGCAAATGCTGAGATGGCCCCTTGTTTTGCTTCTGAATGTAAATGTAACTTCATTATGCGCACGTTTTGTTGAACTCTCCTTTTGCTTGTAATGCTAAGAGTGGAGGTAAGGGCGAGTTGCTATTTTGCTAGCAATGCAGAAAACTCATACTTGTAATTTGTGTACCAACGGAAATACATTTTCTATAACTCTGAAACAAAAATGACTATTTTTCAAACATTGCTAATCTTGCATTTTTTAAAATTTATTTTTATTTATTTATGTTAAATTTTTACTCATCCTTCAACTATTTATAGTTAAATGATGGGAAGGAATTCTGGAACTCAAGAAAATGTGCGCAGATAATCTGTTCACCCCCTACGTCACATAGGTTTTACTGGTTTTGACTGAATAAATCTAAAAAAAGGCAAAAGGATGATTAAAACTCAAATGATAATAATTTGATGATAATGAATTTACTTTCTTACTCTTCTTAAAGTTTAGAAGGATTCCTGTGTGAATGATTGTAGATAGCATATAATTCTTTCGCGCGTGGCATCAATGTCATCAGATCTGTTGTTTTGGAAGGATAATGGTTTATTTATAGTTTAATTACAGCTTTTTTTTAAAATCGTTATGTCATTGACACATCACGTCTCTTAAACTTTTGTTAGGCATTGAGTGCTCACATAGAGTAATTCTTCTTTACTTTGTCAAGTCTTGTCTCGTTGCAGTCAGTTAGTGTCTTTTATCCCTTTGGCCAGGAGCTTGATGCTGTTAGATTCCGGGGTTCCTAGCCGGTCATGCAATCAGGCATCTATGAGTCTGGAATTCGCTTGCCCTCTGTGACTTCACAGAGCATAGTAAACAAATTTGGCTAACTATGCCGTCCTAATTGAAGCTGATATACACGTCATGTATTCACACCCCTGCAAGTAAAAAATATCTTGCACATCTATGCTCTAATTGAGAACCAATCCTGCTACAATTGATAATCTGCTTTATGCTGTTGTATCATCCAATCTCTCCTTGAAAAAAATATGATTAAATTAATGAGTGAACAAATGAACGATCATCATTGATAGTAAAATTGCCTTAATTGAATGGAGAAGGGTTTATGTGTGTGTGTGCAGGCTGTGTCAGTCAATCGCAGGACAACTGTGCCGGGGAAGTGGATGGCTCGAGGGGCTCAGATGTGCTGATGGCTGTGGGCAATGACAATGAGCGCAATGGCAACAGTCTGTCTCAGTCACAGGTTGCACATGTGCACTCCATGATGGAAGAAGCCATGAAGGAGTCGAGCTTCACCTCACACAGGGCAGGTGAGGCATGTGTTTATCTCTAACCAGATGTGAAATCAAAGTGTACTTGGTGAATATTGTTAAAAAAAATCTTATAATTCATACATTACTGACAATTGTGTGTGTGTGTGGTGTGTGTGTGTGTGTGGTGTGTGTGTGTGTGGTGTGTGTGTGTGTGTGTGTGTGTGGGGGCATGGGGTGTGTGTGTGTGTGTTTTATATATAGGTCTGCAGGATACAAGGCTTGAGGCCAATTCTGGGTAATCCTTGAAAAATCTCAATGTAAATAATAATTCCACCATATTGTAGAACTCCTATACAGTAATCCCTTACTGTCACTGGAAAAAAGTGGATGTAAAAGATAATTTTTTCCAAAGTGTGATTGATTTAACTTCTTAAAAATTTAATAGAAATTTGAATGCTTGTGATACTTCAGAGCTTGAGAAGACATAATTCATTATCAATAATATTCAAAAAAATAAAAAAAAAATTTATTGTGCAGTAAAATATACAATGTAGTTTTCCTTTTACATTTTCCCCAACTAGTATTCTAGAATGTGTTGAAAATGGAAAATACAATAGAAAATGTAGTTTTCTTCTTTTTCTTCTTCTTCTTTTTCTTCTTCTTCTTCTTTTTCTTCTTCTTCTTTTTCTTCTTCTTCTTCTTCTTTTTCTTTTTCTTTTTCTTTTTCTTTTTCTTCTTCTTTTTCTTTTTCTTCTTCTTTTTCTTCTTCTTCTTTTTCTTCCTCTTCTTTTTCTACTTCTTCTTTTTCTTCTTCTTCTGCGTTCATGAACTCTGTCTGAATATGAACATTCATCTGAAAATCAATTTTTACTGTTGATAAAGGAAAACCATTAAACAAGGTTAAGTTAAAATGGCAACTGAGAAGTCCTCTTGGCACATGGAATGACGACCTTCAGTCAAATCACCTTTAAAAGCAATTAGTGTAATTTTTTAAATAATTTCTCTATTGTTATTGTATGTAATCAATATCATGAATTTTAAAGTTGAAATGCCAATTTTCGATACCTTAATCTGGGAACAGAGATTTGAGAAGTGCAAAAGTCATTGTTTGACAGGGCAGAGGATATGTACACTGCTTTGAAATGGATTGTCCTTAGTAGTGATCATACTGAAAATTTCCACTGTATTTGTAATTGTTGAGAAAAGTTGTAAGTAAAATTTAGTTGTGCTTGATTAAGAGTTTAATAGATTGAGGTTGAAGGCTGGTGTGGTGTTGCAGGTCCCCCTAGGGCTACGCGCAACAAGCGTGGAGTAGAGGTGTTCTTCTTCCCGGATGAAGCCAACGTGCTGGCGTCGAAGGCCTTGGCTGACTCTGAGCTCTTCCAAAAGGAGGAAACGGAGGAAAACGAGGACAGCTGGGAGGAGGACTTTTGCATCCTTGACAAGGAGACAGGCTCTGGCTTTCTGGTATGGAGGACAGGGTTTGTGAGAGAGCTCTTCCAGAAGGAGCAGAATGAGGACCTAACGAAGTAATACCTGACGGCAGTTCCGTAGGTGGGGCGAGGGATGTAGGGTTTTAGTGGGTATTATCTACGGATGAGTCCCACACGAATCGGCCCGGATATGAGAGTCTGGGTCGATGGTGCGTAAATGCATTTCCCTGTCGTTAAAAAAAACAAAAACAAAAGAAAAAACACACACACACTCATCTTCCCCCCTCAGATTGTAATGGTTTGTGAGCCTATTTCAGTAATGCACACCCTGGTAATGGTAATAACAACACTATATCCAGAGTGAGTAAAGCTCGTTACCCTTTCTAAGCTTAGTTTAATGGAGAGGAATGGGTCCAGGCTGCACCCTGAAATCAACCTTTAAATTTTCCCTACACTTGGACACATTGGCGAAGGGAAGGATTGGGGTACAAGGGAATGCACAACAAAGCAAGATACCCCACACCCCTGCCCCACCCAGCTTGGCCAGACCTTGAAGGAAAAGTTATTGAATGTAGTTGGCAGTGGCTCACACTGCTGAGGCAGAATTGGTATCCACTTGTCTTGGAGTCCCGATTGGTTGGCGTGCACGCCTTAACACTCTTGGCTACATATTAGGCAAGAGCTCTTGCTGTAATCTCTTTGTGTTGTTTTTTGCAGCCACGCAACAGCTTGCCAGAGGTGCGGCTCCTGACCAGCGAACCAGTGCGGCTCATTGACAATCATTTTGCGGTGCCACTGGGGAAGACGGATCTGCTACGTGCCCCGAAAGGCTACCCTGCTGCAGTGCTGCGCTACACTTTGCGTGAAATGACTGTCATCTGGCACATGTATGGGGGCCATGACTTTGGCCCGCCCTCAGGCCCCGGAGCAGCTGCGGGTGCAGACGAGCAGAGGGTACCCGAATGGTAAGCTGTTCAGCCATTCAAGTGGTGTCATTTCTTTTTATATGATATATTCTTTAATTTCATGAAATTTTATATTGCATGTTCAATTTTATGTTCTAAGAGGGAGCAAATATATTAGCATAATCTGGGAGAAACTTATTTATGTCAATAGATTTCACACAGTTTGTGTGACACATGTTGTCCTATAGTGTCACATGTCATATAGTGTCACACTTATCTTAACTGATCAATATTTTTGCTTGTTCCTTAAGAATCCAACTGCTACTTGATGTGTATATCTTTCTTTCTAGTGCTTCTGTTGATAAAGATATCAGCAAGAGCCCTGTGATCTTGTGCTTTCCATGATCGTTTTTTTGCTGTGGTAATGTTCTGTGCAAAATCATCTTTTTATTTAACCTTCTATTTATTGCTTTAAAAATGAGCCTACAAAGAAGTATCACAATATAACAGATATTTGCAGTTTGAGAAATTGTCATTCCTGTAATGAATATGCCAAATAAAATTGTAGAGATAGAAAATTTGTTGAGTTACTGATAAAGTCTTTTCAGTAATGTAAATTGTGATTCAAATCACATGCAAAAATGCAGTCAACTCACAGAAGTCTGTAGAATCATAATTTTTAATTTAATGTAATTTTTTTAATGAGATGTGGTGTTTTGGGTAGAAAGAGCTTGTTGTAATGGAAGCTTGGGCTGAGGGAGCAGTGCCTGCAGTGTGGTGTGGTGTGTTGCAGCAAGAGCTGCCCGTCTTCCCCCCCCTTCAGCAGCCCCCGCAGCTCTCCCTCTACAGGTCTCCGGCCGCGCGGCAGTGTCTCCTTCTCCAAATCCACACCCACAGAGGTGAGTTCACTTTTGAAGATGCTTCCAGATGCTATGAGACTTCCTCCTGATGAATAAGTTATTCTTTTATTTATTTCAAGTTCTCGTGCAATTATCGTATTTACTCTTTTGTAAGCCGACCCCAAGAAATAATGAAAAATAGGAAATTTATTTATTTAAACGTAAGAAATGCATTTGATGCTTAATGTACTCGGACCATGAAAATCTGATGAATGTGTGAAAAAAAATTAAGAACAACTTTCCAAGTTTGAAGAAATCTTATATGTGTAATATTTCGAGATAGATTAGATAATTATAATATTCAAAAGAAACCGATTTCACCAAGAAAAAAATGCCTATCTTTATTATTGTAGTTGTAAGGAGGCAAAATAATTTCAAACTTGCGCAAATTTTGAAAATTCTGAAAATTCAATGGAAATTGAACCTGGCCCATTTTTATAAGCATGCTCTGCTCTATTTTAAAAAATAGTTTAAAGGAAAAAAATGTTTAACCATGTTTTAGAAAATTTCGAAAATGTGAGTGTTTATGTAAAGTTTCTCCAAAATAAAAATCAGTTTCAAATTGAGGAGGCTGCGGCATCTGCTCAAACTGAATGAGGTATATAAATTTAGGTGGAAATCTTGTGAATGGCTTAGTTACTAGCATTGTTACAATACTGTACATTATGCAATGATTGCATTCACACATACAGAATGGGAAATTAAAAGTATTTGACCTGTGTATTCAGAATTATTTGTCACACAATAAATAAATCAAGTTAGAATTTTAAAATTATGTTTGTGAATACATTGATATCTAAACATGTTATAACTTATTATTAACTATGAGTTTTTATTTACTAATTGTATATTTAATTTATCTACAATATATTAATAATATTCAGATCTTTATAAAGGTAAAGAAATCTATATATTTCATTGTGTTTCAGTAATATTCCAGTTTCATGTAATATTCCAGTTAATCCATCAAATATTTGATGATTAACTATTTTCCCCTCACTCTAAAAAGGCAGATGGCATCTCTTATGAAACTCCTGTTTAGTTTAAGCAAATGACCCCCTAAGAATCAGAGAACTGCACTCTTTAAAAGATCTTATCCCATACTGCTTATTTTCATTAAAATTTTTCTGTGAGAACTGTCAATTTGTTTTAGATTCTCGAAGGTCCAAGCTCATTTGAATTGTTTCAGGTGCACTTTGCCTATCACTCCCCTGCCCCCCACAGCCCTCGTGCCAACTCCCCACAGCAGCCACTGCTGCAGCCAGCTCAGGTGCCGCTCTCGTGGCAGGCTCAGGGGGGGCCTGGCCGGCAGCATGACGTTCTCATGGAACTGCAGCTCAACAAGGTGAGATGAGGAGAAGGAAAGGCAATGCTCACAATAATTTGGCTGGAGGTCTTGGAAGTTATTGTAAACTCTCATTAGCATGGACTTGCTTAACACACATTTGGCCATCATATGGACAAAATTAGACTCCTCGCAAGGAAACATAGTATATGTATGTAAAAAGAGGATAGTCATTTTTATTACATGAACACTAATTATTTTGGCCTTGGAATCCTTGTTAATGAGGATTGAGTGTATTTTTGCAGAGAGTTTTTCAGTGATCTCAGTACATATGATGTGCTGTGTCAGGTAGTATAGAAAGTTGATTTAATTCTGTCATAATCTTTATATAATCATCACAGTAGTTGTAAATTTTTTTCTGTATTTCAAAACCTGCTTGACCAATTTTTGAAGTTACATTATTTATTGTTATAATTATAACTATTTGTGGGAATGTGTTTGTATTCGACCAAATGAAATGACCTGGCTTTTAGATCCGTGCTGCAGCTGACCTACATGAGCTCTGCAAACAATGCCTTCGCCTTTTGATATTAGTTTTCCTCATCACTCAATAAAAAACTTATTTTTAATGTTGATTCTTGCCTGTGATTGTTAAATTTATTTAAATTAGAACAGATTTAATCATTTACTTGCTGAATTCATATATTGTACAATCTATGTTACTTTGTTTTTCTTTTCTTTAAAAATCTTTTTTTCTTCTTCATCTGTGAGAGTAGTCTTTTATTATGCTGTCAGAATATATTATATTTTAATGTAAGCACTGGCAATCCTATCATGATTGATGATATAAAAATCAGTATTTACTGTAGGTATGATAGTATAACTGTAATTGGGGAAATAATCACTGGGAGAGAAGATATACAACCATATTGTTTAAAATAAATAATAATTGTATTTCTTTTTATTTAGTGTCTTATTAGTCTAATTTAATACATGATTAAATCTTGTTCTGAAGCTATTTATTAAAATTAGTGCCCTTGACATTTCTATTTATGAAACTTAAGTATTTTATTCATATAATATTATTTTCACTATTTTCATTCATTTTAATTCTATTGTTAGTTCATGTTTTACTTCAAATTTTGTACCTTTTAAAACCTTATGAATGAATGCATGCATAAGGGTTCATGTAATTCCATATAAATTTTACCCCTGTGTTATATATTAATATGCTGGATAAGAGGGGTGATATTATTACCTACTACTTTGGAGAATTCCTTTGCGATGCCTCAATGTAATAAGTAGCTGATTGAAAACATTGTTCCGATATGCCATTTATGTTCAAAATATCACAAACTCTGTTTATTCTCAAAATAATTATTTAGATATTTATGCAGTTTCAATTATAGTGATCACTAAAGCAGTCTACATTTATGTTAGTGCATTGGAATCAACGTAGTATTAGTGTCTTGTGCTTAACTTGTAAAATGTGGCATCGCCGATGCTGTTAACTGTTTGAAAAATAGTTTCATCTGTTGAAAATTTGTTTCAAGTCCAGCTTTATTCGAATATGTTCTTCCAGTGTCAGGCTTTGGAATTACCAATGAATCGTAGTAGCTGATAATGTTATACTCTCATTTAAAAGTTCCCAATGGCATTGTGTGATAACTCCATATGAGATATGAACTGGTCTTATTACAATTTCAAAATTATAATCCTCGTAACAAATACTTGCAGGTTCTCATGCTAATAGTGATATTTTAGTACAGCTACATTTGAAGCTTTTTTGCTATTATGCACAAAATGCACATAGCACATTTGTATGACCACAAATGCTAAATGTACAACTGCAGATCATTCCCAACATCTTTTACAACTACTTTTGATTCTTCCCCGCATTTGCTTAACTCTTCCATAGTTTCCTCCCTTAATTTTTGAAGAGATTGAATCTTCACAAACTTACTTGTGTTCACTTCTACTTCTTCAATTGCTCTATTAATTGTTTTTTGTATGCAATCAAACATTGGATGTAAAACTAACGTTAAAAGGTGACTGTTTTGTTTGTTTATGTGAATACGGTGTTAGGTAAGTTTAAGAAACATAAGTTGTGGGCCACATTCATTTTAAAATAAGTATTTGCTTACCAAGACTTTATAAGACCATAAAAGTGAGAAGGCAAACATAATGTTTATTCATTCTCTAGCATTACTCATAGTTTTGTTTTCTCTGTAATCACTGAAAATTCTTCAAGTTTAATACGTTCTAAAGCAATACTGTTCGTAGATTTTTGCAAATTAATTTTTTTAAATATGTTAATTGGAATCTAAATTCAAATCGATCTGGAGCGTGATTTACTTGGTAATTCAATTATTTACTTAAAGATGTTGCCACAACAGAAACATCAATGTTGCCAGAAAAAAATTATGGCGTATTTTGCTGAAAATTTGTTTGGGTTCAGGGGATTAATCATTGCCATTTACATTGATCAATTCAGGAGGTGATGGTTTAATGCCTAGCATTATCACTAAGATTGCAGCATCAAAACATGGAAAAAACAGGTTCTTGGAAATTTATTTGAATCTTCTTGATGGATCCAAAAGCAGCTTATGAGTTCCCCATCAGATGAATGAGGCACGTCGAATGACACCTTATACATCGTGATTGGTGCATGGGAAGTTGTCTTGCAGCCAGCGATGGAATCTCACACATCCACAAATGTGCACACTCTTAGAGTTTTACTCGAATATCGTATGCTAATAGGTCTTGCACTGTTGGATTTGGTGATAAATAAATAAAATTCTTTCTTATAGTCTGTTGTAACATTAAGCAGTAATCTTGTCTTCTTCAGGCACAGTCTTTGATGGTAATGGATTTACTGTTTGCTATTTTCTGAACATCTCATGTGTCTCATCATTATGGCTTCCTCCTCCAACTCTATCTCGTGTTCTTTGAATTCTCCACAATCTGGATATTCCCATGTGCTTCAAGAAAATCATTACTTTGTGATTACTCTATTTTGTGAAAAGCAAATTATTTCTTCTGACCATTTATTGGTTGCAAAATTTTCTTTGAGAATGAAATAAACTTTTAAAATGTCTTCCTTTTCCTTCTGTAAAAAATCCGTTAGTATGTGTATGTATGTTTAGGTGCGCTTCCAGCACGAAGTGTATCCAGAGAGTGCCTATGAGGCCTCGCGCCAGGTGTTGCTGGTGAGTGATGTGGAACTGAGAGACCGTTTGGCCTCCTCGCAGATCAACAAGTTTCTCTACCAGTACTCAAGCGAGGCACGCCCCAAACAATCCCATGCCAATATGGTAAGGAGAAGTCTCCTCCAGAGCCAGATGGCTCTTTTTCTTTTATTAACAAAAAATATGTAGACAGTTTTGTTCAGGGCTGTTTTATTGATTGGCTATTTTGATTGTGGGTGGTTTTGGGAGAAAAGCAAAATTTTTATTCAACTTGATTCATTTTTGAGGTTAGAGGGTGTATTTTACAATGGAGCAGTAATGTTGTTTAGTGGTTCTAATATTTTGGGTAAACTTGTGTTAAACTGAGTTGGCAGATGCTAAAGTCTTTGGAATGTTTTGTAATGCGATTGGAAATGGGAATATATCAAGAAGGTGAGTTATTGTTTTGTTTTTAATGAATAGAAGGATTAGGAAGAATGTTTAAGGTGTAGATTGAGATCTTTTTATTGTTTCATACTACTAAAGTCAAAATTAAAATTAATTGTTGCTGTAATATTGTTGTTTAACACCATATTTCCAAGAGATAAATTCTTTCTGCTTATCATGGTAATTTCAGGAAAGAAAAGAAATGCTGGACTTCAAACTGTTACAATCACTCAAATTTTATTTAAACACAAATTCCAATTTTCATTACTGTCTTGTCATGAATTGTTGGCAAGATCCACCGACCAAGATTCAAGATGTTGTATTAATGAATTTCATAATTAATTTCTATGTTATTTAAAGCTTCAACATGTTTTATTAATATTAAAATACAAAAAAATCAGTCCTTTTCTTGAATTTCATATAATTCCTATTTGTGCAAATATAATTTTTGTGAAAAATTAAATGTGTTATTTTGTTCCTAAAAACTTTAGTTTATATTTGTAAAAATTAAAAACTGTAATAGTGCCAAAAGTAATAAAACATTATTTTAATAAACTTGTTTTACAAAAGTTTTGTTCACATTCTATGTTGGATGATAAACTTTATCATATATTTGCAACTACTTGTATTATGATTTTATTTTATGCTGTTTGAAATGAAAAAATTGAAGGGGGTCCATGAAGCAAATTTTTTTTTTTAAAAGAACGGGTCAATGCTAGAAAAGAATTGGGAATCCCTGGTCTTCATGAATGTGGGCTTTCAAAAGATTAAATGAATAGTGTTCAAGAAGTTAGGCTTGTTCAGACAGAAGGAAACTGGGGAGAAGAACCTTTTAATACCCCCCATTGTGGTGTTTGTGGACAGATCGTGATCAAGGCAGTGCATGTGCGACCTGACCCACGGCTGCCTGCGCAAGAGTGTACCCTTCGCGTGTCTCTTCTGCCGTTGCGCTTGAACATCGACCAGGACTCTCTGCTCTTCCTCTTCAGCTTCTTCTCAGACATTTCAGGCCGCAAGAGCACCGAAGGTAATGGGCCCAAATTGCTTCTCAAGTTTCAGAAGCATACAGCTGTTAAAGTATTGTACGTCTTCAGATCATTTTCAGTGCATTTCACTTTAGGCAAAATGTTTAAAGAAGGACATTTGAATAACGTACTTGTGCTTAATTGAATTTGAATATAGATTACTATTCATTTTGCTTTATTGGCTATTTTAATGTATCAGTGGGTATTTTTACCACAAAAAAGCCTCTGATTTGATAACTTTGTGGTAATGAGTTATGTCAAATTGTCCTTGATAATCCTTTGATGTCAGAAAGCTCTGCCATGCTAATGAAAGTGATGTGTTGCCTCCAGATGAAAGCAGCAGCAGCAGCAGCACCATCAGTGGAGGGGGTCTCTCTGGGAGCACCCCTCGCCACTCCACCCCCACGCACGCACCCCCAGTGATGACTGTGAACGTGGAGGCATGCGAGCAGTTGGTGCCCCAGGAGCCCCAGGCGTTGCTCATTCTGCTGGAGGACGAGTTGAGCAGTGCCATTGGAACTGCAGAGGATGAGGGGCTGGGTGTGGATGCCCAGCGTCGGGTGGCTGCCACCTCAGAGAGCGGCAGAGCTACTGCTGGTGGGCCCTTGGCACCAATCTACTTCCGTAACTTTGTGTTTACACGAGATGTGCCCATCCGGCTGGACTACCAGGGCAAACGAGTGGACATGACGCATGGGCCGCTGGCTGGGCTGCTCATGGGGTTAGGGCAGCTCAACTGCTCTGAGCTGCGCCTTAAGAGGCTGTCCTACAGGTGAGCCCAAGGAACATCTTTAAATCTGTCCAAGGGAGGGGTTGGGTAAAACCACGTTTATGTATTTGTTGAAATAACCGAAACTGCACTAGAAGATTGTGCACAAGGCTTCATTTTGCTCCTACGAATTGTGCTTGGAACACCCATGACATATCTCTGCAAGTAACACACTGCATGACTGAGTAATGGTTTGAAGTGTGCTGTTGGTTTGCTTTACAAAGATGTAAACAGTTATAGGACTATGTTTTTGTTAAATGTAGATCCCCTGTGTACAGTTGCAAGACAAAAATCTTCCTACTGAAAGGTGATGAAGATTTAATGGTCCTACCCACCATGATCATGACCATCAAAATTCTCTTTAGAACTGACACATTTAAAAAATGTATTATCAGTAGTAGATGAGTAGTGTTCAGAGTAAGGAAAATAATTAACCTGCTGGATGTGGATTTTCACAGTAAAAACTGTTTATTAAAACATTTTTCATATCTATTCATCCCAAGTATTTTCAAAAGAGATTCTTATTTTTGTAGCAGAGTACACTTTTCAATTACTCTCCTCTCCATCATACAATTTTGTAACAAAGCAGACAACCGCCTTGCCTTTTAGTGCAGCCACTTGTGATTGACTTGTCATTTTCATTTTTATGAGCATGTTCAAGAGCAGGTTTATGAGTATGTTTGATGTGACTCTGTGAGTGGTACTTTGCTCTGAAAATTTTAATTGCAAGGCAAGAAAGAATACATGGATGCAGTATTAGTTTCAGTCTGAGTTGAGAGAAAGTGCAGTGAGGGGTGGGTGTGATGTTGCCTAGGCATGGTCTGCTGGGTTTTGACAAGCTGGTAGCATTTGCGCTGGCAGAGTGGCTGCGGGACATCAAGAAGCACCAGCTGCCATCGCTGCTGGGTGGCGTGGGGCCTCTGCATGCCCTGGTGCAGCTTTTCCAAGGCCTGCGTGATCTCTTCTGGTTGCCCATCGAGCAGTATCAGAAGGACGGGCGGATTGTGCGGGGCCTCCAACGTGGAGCCAACTCTTTCACCACTTCTACTGCTATGGCAGGACTGGAGCTCATGAATCGGCTAGTGCAGGTACGATGTTCTTTATTTTATTCCTTGGTCCCTGCCTTTTCAACAATATGCGAGACGAATAGGTGATGATGGCATAATATGACTTGAGTGATTGTGCAATAGTAGGATGAGAGGAAGAGAAAAAAGAGGAAAACAAAGGATAAACACAGAAAACTTGCGATGATCCCGATTTGTTCACGTATACACATAATACATTTTGATAAGATGATCCTTATTTATTTTTTTTATATTAATAGAACAAAATTACATTTTAGAGTTCAAATATTATGAAATCATTTAGTAAACACTTTAATGAAAGTTATTGCAAACTTGTATATTTTTTCCTGGCTATGAACTCGGCTATTTTCAAACAATCAAAAAGTGTTCTCAACTACTTCTGTACTTGCTTGTAATTAATAATTTTTGCATTTTACTATATTTTAATGATGAGGTTCAAAAAAGGCCCAATTTGAAAAGAAAAAAAAACTCATCAAAAGAAAAAAAAAATTTTTTTTTTGTTGATGTCAGTGAATAGTTTCTTCTTCTTTTTCTTCCTCTTCTTCCTCCATTTCTTATTCTTCTACCTCTTCTTCCACATCCTCTTCTTCTTTTTCTTCTTCTACCTTTTCTTCTCCTTCTCCTCCTCCTCCTCCTTCTTCTTCTTCTTCTCCTCCTCCTTCTCCTCCTTCTTCTTCTCCGCCCCCTTCTTCTTCTTCTCCCTCCTCCTCCTCCTCCTCCTCCTCCTTCTTCTCCTTCTCCTCCT